GTTTAATATGCGAAAATCGGGCAAGACACAGTTCACCCCTCTTCTATATCTAAGTGCATCCAAAAATTACAAGATTTTAACTCATTTTTCATTATAGCAAATTTTCATGTAATGAGGTTCTTGTATAACCTCCATGATCAATGTTTAGTAATTTGACACTCACTCGTAAAGTTAACATGTACAAAGTAACTCAAAGTAGCTAAGATTTATTTGTGAACTGAATCGACTTCTCTTCATTCAGGTATTTCCTATTAATATAAAGGGACTAGGTTGAACTTCAATGACATTAAGCAATTGGTTTAGGTCCTCGATTGTGACCTATACTTTTAATTCTTGTTTCCTAAAACAACACTTTTGCCTTCTTAAAAGTAGGGGTAAGGTCTGCATACACATTACTCTCCTCATATCCCACTTGTAAAAATACATTGAATTTATTATTGTTGTTGTTATTGTTATTGTTATTGTATTAATGTTACTTTTAATTTTTTTCCTTTCTGACCCTGTTATTGTTGAAGTTCTTTTTTATTTGATTGATTAGACTAAAGCCGAAAATTTTATCACTGTATTTCTTTACATTTGCATTTGTTTGTGGCTCATTTCTTTTGATTTTTTATTTGCACTTGTTTATGGTAGGGGTGTACAAATGAAATCGATAAACCACACCAATCTGATAATCCGAGTCAAACCAAGTGTGATGACCCAATAGGCCATCTTATGTTTTAGAACCAAACTCTATGTTTCGAGGCCTTTAGAACCTCATTCTAGCCTTCCTCGATTTGTGTGCGCACTTCAGGTATTGACCCGAAAGGCTTATATGTTAAAAAATGATAAAAACAAGAATTTTTGCCTTAAAAGTTAATTTTAGTTGACTTCGGTCAACGTTTTGAGTAAACGGACCCGAAACCATAATTTGATGGTCTTGGTGGATCCGTATTGAAATATGGGGTTTGGGTGTATGCCCGGAATCGAATTCTGAGGTCCCTAGCTCGAGATATGAATTTTTGTTGAAAATTGAAAGACTGAAAATTTAATAGTTTTAAGAATTGATTGATGTTTGGCCTCGTTGATACTGGGTCCGTATTTTGGTTCCGAAGCCCGGTACAGGTCCAATATAATATTTATGAGTTGTCTATGAAATTTGGCGAGAAATGGAATTGGTTTGACGTGATTCGGATGTCCGGTTGAGAAAATAAAAGTTTTAAAGCTTTCTTAAAAATTTAATTCGATTTGGTGTTCAATTTGTAGTTCTAGGTGTTATTTTGGCGATTTGATCGTGCGAGCAAGTTCGTAGATATTTTAGGACTTGTGTGCATGTTTGGTTTGGAGCCCCGAGGGCTCGGGTGAGTTTCGGATAGGCTACGGAATGTTTTAGACTTAGAAAATCTGATTTTTCCTCCAACGTCAGTGTTTTTTGGTTTCCTTCTTTGAGTTTGCGGAGGTACTCTCGCAAACGCGAAGAGTGAACGGGATTGGGTGTATTTTTCTTCTTTGCGAACGCAAAATCTGGTTTGCGAACGCGGAGTGATGGGGGCTTTACCCTTCGCGAACGTGACCAGCTCACCGCGAACGCGAAATATTGTGGACTTGGGGGAGGGGTCAGTCGTTCCTTCTACGCGAACGCGAGCACGGGCTCGCGAACGCGAAGTCCAGGAGGCATAGCCTTCGCGAACGCGATGAGGTTTTTGCGATCGCCTAAGTCTAGCAGGTGCAGCCCTTCGCTAACGCGCCAGGCCCTTTGCGAACTCGAAGAAGGCCTGACGCCCAGTTATTAAAAACAGAATCAAAAACGGGATTTTGCAATTCTTTCAAAAATTGCAAAACTAGAAGACCTAGAGGCAATTTTCAAAAGATATTTTCTTTCCCAATTTGTTGGTAAAGTGATTCTAAACCACTTTCTTTCAATTACCCATTACATTTCATGAATTTCAATCTAAAATCTTGAGCGTTCATAGTAGAATTAGGGGTTTTTGGATAGAAACTAGGGATATAAAAAATTGGGGATTTAGATCTCAAATTGAGGTCGGATTCTAAAATCAATTATATATCCGGACTTGGGATGAATGGGTAAATAAATTTTGGTCTGAACCTCGGGTTTTGACCAAGCGGGCCCGAGATCTGTTTTTGACTTTTGGGGGGGAAGTTTGGAAAATCTAAATTTATGCATTGTAGTTGATTCCTTTAGCAATAATTGATGTTATTGAGTTAATTGTGACTAGATACGAGTAGTTTGGAGGTGGATACTAGAGGAAAAGCGGTAATTGAGCATTGAATGGCCCGTAGAGCGAGGTAAGTGTTGTGTCTAACTTTGACTCGAGGGATTAGAAACCCTTGACTTATTTGCTATATGAAATCCATGTGAGCGACGTATATGTGATGTGACGAGTACTTATACGCCACCAATTTATTTGTTTTTGTCTGTTTCTTTCCCGTTCTTCTCATATTGTCTTTTTCCCTTGTCATAACTACTATATGCTTTACTTGCATTTTCATGCTTAATTGCTACCTGATAGACATTACTTCTCTTTGTTGAAGGTATTGGTTATTTCGTAGATTCGTTGTCTCCTATTATTTGCTTAGGCTAGTTATCGGTACTTTCATGATATATTCTGGGTTGGTCTCGCTGAGTAGTATTACTTGTGTAAAGTTTCGTAGTGTACAAGCTTCCTAATTGTTTGGTTGGAACTTAAGCCTTGTAAAGGGTTATGTGATTTGAATTGTGAAATTGTTGTACGTACTGAATAACTGATAATGATATGGTGGGATCGGGTTGCACGCCGCAACATGTGTAATAAGGGTGGATTGAGGTATAATAAGGGTGAATTGTGGTGTAATAAGGGTGAACTGTGAAAGTGATTATTGTGATATGGTGGGATCGGGTTGCATGCCGCAACCCTTTTATTTATATTTTGTTGTTTATGTTAATAAGAGGAAATAAAGAATGAATATTAGATGTACGGTGGGATCGGGTTGCATGCCGCAACAACCTATATGTTTATACTTTTCCTTGACTGTGTTAGTTGTACGGTAGTCTTAAATTGCACCTAAGGATTGGTAGTAGCTGAACACTGATGATATGCTTCGAGAACTGTATTCACTTCTTGCAAGTTACTGCTCTATTTTATCCTGTCTTTCTTTCTGCTTTTATTATATACTGTATGTAGGTTATATTGTGATTGCACCGCCGTAGCCTCGTCACTCCTTCGTCGAGGTTAGGCTTGGCACTTACCAGCACATAGGGTCGGTTGTACTGATACTGCACTCTGCACTTCCTGTATAGATTTTGGAGCTGGTTCGAGCTGATCGAGAGGTTGACTATAGGATTTATCAACTAGGAGACCCAAGGTAGACCTGTCGGCGTTCGCAGGCCCTGGCATCCCCTTCTATACCTCATACTTTCCTGTTTTCTTTATTTCACAAACAGTTTTATTTTCTCTCGGACAAATACTTGTAGTAAAATCTTAGAATGTTTGTGAATTGTGACTCCGGATTCTGGGTAGTAATAGTATATAATCAAAGTTGTTATTTATTTACTTCTGTATTCATTTCGACCTGTTTTAGCTTACTTATTGTTAATCACTGAAACATAAAGGAATTGGCTAATAGATCTCTAACGTTGGCTTGCCTAGCAAAAGTGATATTAGGCGCCATCACGGTCCCGATAATGGGGATTCTGGGTCGTGACACCAAGAAAAAAAATCCGACTATGATTTGGTTTGGTGTTGGAAAAAAGAACCCGACCATATTTGGTTTAGTTTGGTTTTAACTAAAAAATTTCAAACCAATCCGACATTATATGTATAAATTTTTTAAATATATTTAATAAATAAAAATATTTATTATAGTGTAGTTTATAAATATTTCTTAAGCTTTTAAATAGTTTTATTTTTTAACGTATTATTTCAAGCTTGGACTTATAATTTTTGGATGCTCCAATAAGTTTTATAGTTCATAAATGTTAGTAACTCAAATAAATCCTAAACCAATATCAAATCAATACTTCTAATAAAAGACATTCAATTCAATTGTACTATGAATAAAAATAGTGTTGGATATCTATTTTTTAGTTTTTTCGTGGTTTAGATAAAAATGCATAACTTATTTTTCCTTTAATGGTTAGTCATGTAAATAATAGTACTTATTAGTCGTACTTATTTTAACAAATTATTAGTAATTTTAAATTATGTTTGTTTGTTTTCATTATGGCTTATTAATAATACTTATTTTATGCGATTTTATTATCTTTATTGTTGAATATTTTAGTACAATGCCATGACTCATCTCATATTTATATTATTTTATTGTAAAACACCTTATATTGTTCTATCTTATTAGGATTAAAGAAATATTTGGAGCACAAATTCTATATTTTGTGCTATGTAGACTTTATGTATTAGAGATAATATCTAGGAAACGGAAAGGTTTAGATTTTTATCACTAGAAGAGAACATATGGCTTTATTGAAGGTAGATTGAGTTCTGATGTTTAGTGTTGTTAGAAGTTATTTGCTACTCCATTGGGTTGTCCAATTAAAGGTTCTTTGCCTTTTATTTTAAGCATACATAAACCAACATTCCTCCGGGGCTTGTTTTCCTTCTCGCTTCTAGTCGGTGCACGGAAATTCTAGATTTTTGGTATTTTGGATTTTAAACTAGACGATTTCGTACCATTCACCTGATTATCTGGAAGATTGTTTCGAAGAAAGGTGAATATCCCGTGAACGTATGCAAAGGCCAATTCTATTAAATTTCAAACAAATGATGGCGATTATTCAAAACAGAGATACTGAAAACGACATATACTAATAGACTAATGGACTTCATAAATGACTGCGACCTTGTCTTGACATTTTCACTCTATCGGTATGCCTATAGGATATAACCTTCCAATGAACTCCCAAAAATCAAAACGGAGAAGTTCACTCACTGCCAGCACTATACATCATCATTTTTCCTCCTTTTTTCTTCATTTCCGTTTCGTTTTATCACATGATAAGACGTGGCTATACCAAAAAATTTCTCATAATCGCTAAACAGAACAACGTCAAGAAGGGTTGACACAGTATTGGAAGCGAAAAGGGAAATCCCGAAAGCTAGAAGGGTTTTCTTAAATTTATTTTTATTACATACGGGAATCAGTGAAGATGCGGGAAGTGGGACAGCGAGAAGTAGACACACACATATGTGAGATTCTCGTCGATACCAATAGACTGCAAGCCGTAATGCGAGGTTGGTTACAGACTAAGAAAATCTGAGATATCATTTCACGAAAAAAGAACATCCTGCAGTTGCATGTCGCGTTTTCATACATTTGGTGGTGGCCATATCTTGCCAAAGAATTCCTCAACCCGCTTAGCCTGATTAGTATAGCCATCCATTCCAATAGTGAGGAGCTCCACCGCTGCAGGACCCATAGCCGAGGAAAAGCTATACTGATCCCATTTTTGAAGCTGAAATGGAACAGCAAATAATCTACTGAGCATGATATCATTGTAGTCGTAGTAAATTGCATTGAGAAGCTAGAATTGCTTAGAAGTTGCAGAAGAAGCAGATACAACTTCCAATAAGACAATGCTAAGAGCCCAAATATTTTATGACAAGAAACATTCCTCCTCCTCAACCCTTCTACTTTTTCTTTTTAACTAGGACAAGAGAATGTTGTTTGGTAACTTCTTCCTTCTTTCGAGTACTTCTATAATATGTGTTTCATCACTATTTTTGTTTCATTTACTTCAGGACTTCAGGAAACAAAGTCTATTTTGGATATATAAATATATGCATTCAGTGGCAAGTTCCTGCTACTACTCCATCTTCTGCCTACCTTCCCAATTCCCAACCGTTCCTCGCACCTCACTACCAACCTTTATCCGTCAGAACCACAACATTTGCCCCTCTCAACATTCCAATATGCGCTCTGGCCCTTTCTCTTCCTCTTCTTACCTATCTTGATTTTATTTTGTCCTTCAAAACTAAATGTCACTTTCTTTCCATGTTTTTCTAATAAGTAAATGACACCAAGCACTTTTGTAATTTTACCGAGTGAGAGATGTAATTATTATAGGATAGGGTCCCCCCCCCCCCCCACACACACACACACACACACACCCGAGTTGTTACATAAAGGCGAGAATCAGATAGTAAAAATGAATATATTGCATCAAATCCATCTGTTTTACCCATCAAATAGTGGTCATCATACACCCATATTTTCCTTTTCTCCATTGAAAATAGGCTCATGAGAATGAAAGATAGGACATGGATTCGAGACCAAACCTCGTCTTGGGTGAAGTTGAAGGCAGCAGCTGATTGTGGGGATAACCTTCTTATAAATGAGTACTTCTCATCAGGTGGGGTCACGGATTCTTTAAGAGATTGCAATACCTTCAGTGGGGTGATAATGTAATCCACCCTGACGTTGTTACCAAAGTTTTAGCACCACAAATGGACCATTTAGACACGACAAAACTTCACAAGTTTGAGGTACAGTTAAATTACCCCAAAAGGTTGAAGACATCCTGCTTGTTCCGCACTGCTGCAGCCATCAGCTTTGATTTGTGACCATACTTGTGGATGTAGTTATAAGCTTTTGTTACCTGAAAAGATGCAAAGAACACTCAGCACTTCAGATAATGTGGCTGCAAGATGCCCAGGGAAAAGACATACTTATATCTCAGTTCCAGGATTGTTGTTCAAAGATGGCAGAAAAGATACATTCAATGACAACTTGGCACCAATAACAAATCGAAAAATATAATTGATCAGTACGAAACGAAATCCAGGGAGGCATTCAGGACATCCCTGAGGATCAGAAAAGAAAAGAGATATCTTGCCTTAAGGTAACAACCCCAGGTTGAAAATAGTTTACAATACTTCTGGAGGTTGAGTTCTAAAGTTGTTATGGTACAAGAACATACATATGATGGTTGGAAGCTCCTAGGTTTTACCTATCAATATGCTATTCTCAAACCATCCAGATTTGAAAAACTAGTGCAAATTAGTAAAAGCGTCCAAGCCCCCCATGTAATACTTAAAAAAGTTGAGAAGAATATAAATGCATTTGGGAAAAATAAAAGGAAGAAGCAGCATGTGGTAAAACTAACCAAAGCCAACCCAGGATCTTCTCCTCTTTTAAGAGCACTTTCAATTTCAGAGTCACCAGTGTGATTGCGAGACCAATCCTGAAAAGAGTGATAAAATATTATGCCAACAGAGCTAAATAAATCCGAAACACATATTTTCATATAAGACAAAAGAATTTACCCTTAGGCGACCAACAAAAATCTGAATGACGGAAGCACCAGCTTGAGCTGCAGCAGCAGCTTGACAAAAGCTGAGAAGTCATGACAAAAGTTTCCAACATAGATGAGAAAAGCAAATTCCAAGAACTCGCCTACATAATACGTTGCATGTGGACTTTGAAATAAAGGAACCATTTCAGGGTTTATGTCTATATTAGAGAAAGAATGAGGGAGAAGAATGTCAAAACAACAAATTTCGTCAAGCTTGGCATGCATCAGCAATTGAACCACCTTTGTTTTCTCATGAAGCTCAAGATAACACCAAGGTATATGTTTCATGAACAAGTAACAAACTGGCAAACAAAACTTAAAGAGTCTATCTAACAATCAAAAGCTAAGACTTTATCGAGGATTAATGAGAATTATCTCAATTCATAGTTCTAGGATGAATGAGCAGCACAAACTATCATCAATAACGAATTAAGTGACATGCTAACAAAGAAACATGCACAATGCAAACCAACAGAACATATAGGTTTTCGTTGTCCATAAAGAATAATGTACTATCTAACTTGGTAGACATGCTATGGAAGGAGGAGGTAGCAGGGGAAGAAGGTGCTGAAAAATTAGAGTCCTTTACAGAATATGACCACGAGCTCTTTGTCAATCTTATGAAAGTTTATACCTGTAAACAAAAGTCAAATGAGTCTGTATGCCCTCAGCTTCCAGCACCCTTGATGCCTCAATTCCCTAAAAGAAAGATAAAAACTGACAAATGAGAAAGGATGAACTTCAGAAAAATCAGAACTTTTGGAGACAGTTAGATTAAACATCAGTTGTTCTATGGGAGACCCAAGCAATTATAATTGTCTTATGGCACTCACTTGCCAAGTTGCAGGAATTTTGAACAGCAATCGCTCAGGAGGCACTTCAATTTCGTTGTAGGCTTTCAAAAGGTCATGCACCTGAAAAGTTAAAGTTGAAACACCTCAAATACAACCCAAAAAAAAGAACTTGCCACAAGAATGATAGAGAATGTGATTTTACATTTCCAAAACATGAAATGACATTTTTATGGCATGTTACGATTTAGACACAGAAAATTCCCCATAAAAGGGCTTGTAATATGCAGCCATTAGGTGATTCTGATCTCTGGGTATTTTGAGATTAAAACTTCAAGCCAAGATTAAAGCTGGTAAGAGTGGTTCTAATTTGAAATATTTTGTAAGCTTAAAACCTTCTTATTGGAAGAATGACTCAACTTCTACTGCATTGAAGTAACTCAGTCACTGTCATGCTACACAATTGACTGGGGCAAGCCTTGTTATATCAATTTTCGAGCAGCCTATAAGTCACATATAAATCACCAGGTTACATCTGGAAAGTTCTGCCTACATAAAGGGACTTAAGACATGCTATTTTCCTGCTTCCACAGGGAATAGCAACGAAATCCTTGTGCTGCCAAGAAACGTACTTCCTTAAACTGTCCTAATTTATATTTCTGGTTGTCTGAATATTGGGTTGCTTCTCTTGAAATTGAAGCCTTTTCACAACACTCTTCAATGTCTTTTGCCAAAAAAGAAAAAGTTTCAGAAGACACATTTTCACATAAGAAGAAAAGAATATCGAAAAGGTCAGCTTTATTCCCAGTTTTGAACCCATTTCAATCAAACACAATAGAACCTTAACTACTACCGCAAGAACTGTGTTCAAATTAAAAGAGGAAGCTAAAAATCGATATACATTACTGGATAAAAAGCATAAAAATAAAAATAGGACAACACTAGTTCTGTGACAGATAGATAATGACGGAGAGATGACTATTTTGGGATTTAGTATATTTTGACCACTTCACAGTAACAAGGGAAGTTTAAGCTAAAGAGGGGGAAAAACGTTTCGTATTTCTCAAACCATCACCAACTTGAAGGTCTTATAGCAGCAAAAAAATTGAATCAAATTTTATACCCCAAGCACTCATGTACCAGTAAAAAATAAAATAGAACCCACCACTATCAAATTTAATATTCTACCTCCGTCCAACTTGCATGATCTAGTTCAATTAAATTTTTGTCTATCATTGGATGTCGATTGCCTTTTCATGAAATTAAAAAAGACCAGGAATCACCAAGAAGACATTACCCATCCAATCCATCGCAATTTCTACGACAATCTTTTCATTTTGAGGCGCTCTAAAATGTTTAAAACCATTATATTAATGATATTATATTATACTATTTTCACAAGTTTCTAGAACTTAAATCTGTTTTACTAGAATTTGGAATAATGATTTCTCATTCAAATTAGCATTAGCTATTATATTAATTCTTTTTCCACTACTAAATTATATAAACTCCACATACCAATTTCTAAACCGGAAAATGATATATAAATAAACAATTAATAGAACATGGTTGGAGAAAAATGTTGCCTCTACCTTCACTAGGTAGGGGTAAGGTAGGGGTAAGGTCTGCGTACACACTACCCTCCCCAGACCTCACCTGTGGAAATATACTGGGTTTGTTGTTGTTGTTGTTGGTTGGAGAAGAATGTTTCTTTTTTTAGTAAATGTGGTTGGAGAAGAATGTTGTTGATCCTTTATCAATGACTAAGTCAAAAAATGGAACTAAGGGATATTACATGACTAGCAAATTTTCCAACAAGAGTAATTCCTTTCATTATTTTCCCCTCTACCAAACAGCAGAATAGTGGTTGCTCCAACGTTTTCTCCCTTGGTGACCCGAGCCTCAACCTTATAGTTGAAGGTGAACGATCCTTACCACTAATTTCTCTCATTAATTCAGTTTCCAACAAATAATTTCTTTCAACTTCCTAAATTGATGCTCGCCCAAAAATAAAACTGAGAGCTTCTTCCAAAAAAGAAAATTACTCCAATATATACAAAGGGAGATGCTAATATGAACCGTTACAATTACACACTCTATGTAAAATATTTGACTATTGAAGATGTTAATGCCAGTGAAAGAACTAGTCCGAAACAGATGAATCCTAGCACGAAGACGGATCCAAAATTTAAACTTAATGGCCTCAACCTTTAACGCTTTTAGCATTGAACTCAATTATACTCTGAAATTATGGTTCAGATTTCAGAATTTGATATTTGTAGCAATTTTAGTGGTTGGTGTGTGTGTGTGTGTATATATATATATATATATATATATATATATATATATATATATGTGTGTGTGTGTGTGTGTGTGTGTGTGTGTGTTCCGTGTACAAAATATTAGGTTCACTTGAACCATCGAGCATAGGCTCTGCATTACCTAATGAAGACTAAATTACTGAAAAAATACATCTAACAGGTGATAAGATTTTGGACATTTTTACCTTTCGCACAATGCCATGTGTGTCATATGCGAGGCGAGCATCCACTTCAGTAGAAACTCGACCAGGCACCAGCTTTGCTAGATCACCACCAACGTGTGCTAAAGCCTGCAATCACAATGAACAATAGTTTGATATAATCATCAAGTACAAAAGAAACTGAAATACACCTAGCTAACATAAAAAGCGCACCAACCTTGTTGAAGAAACAAGACATCTGAAGATCAGAATTCTCCAATCCATAACACTCAGAATCTGCTAAAGCTCTGTCTACAGCACTCTATATCAAATATATGCACTTAGGTAAGCAAAACATGAACTCAATTAGCATCAATTTGGCTCATGTTTTTTAAATTTATTTACATGAACTGGTGCCAAGCTCTGTTTTAAATACTCAAGGAAGATGTACATCCATATGGTATATAATATGATTTTACAGGTAACTCTATTTAATAGCATTGACAGGTAATCTTTAACAAATGATAAGTAACCTATTATAACAGGTTAAATTGCATTGATAGTGTAACATATAACGTAAATCCATATAACATTTTGACTATATCTTGAGTGATATTTACTTGATTTAAAGAAAAAAGTGTATATTCAAAAGTATTTCTAAGAGTTAATAATAATAATTACCTTAAATTTGGTGTCAGGAAGACCGCATATACCTAAGAGCAGAGAAGAGCTTACAGTAGCAGCAGTAGGTGGAAATCTATAAATCCGGAAAAAAAAAACAAATAAATAGTTATATCAAATGAAAATGGTTCAAGTAAAGAAGAAACGAACCAAAACCAAAGCGCAATACTAACTTCTCGAAATCATCGAAAATGACAGTATCTGGAACGATCTCGCTATGACTTGTTACAGCATCCAACTCAGTACTCAAACCTAAAATCATCATAAGAAATTCACCGATTTCACTCATCTACGTCATAATCAAATCAACTTAACTGAAAAATCAGAATTTAAATATACATATCGAAAATCATACAGTACCGGTATCGAGAGACGAGGAGAAGCCAGTGGAAGCTCGGATGAGCGGAATGTTTCGACGAGGCTTGAAAGTCAGAGTTGATTTCGCCAAATTAACTGCATTTCTCAGCTTTTTTTCCTGTTCGATTGCATACACAAATCACTGAAACATACGCGGATGCACATTACACTCGAACACACACACAGAGAGAGTGACACATACCTGAAGAGCTGAGGAAGAGGAGAGAGAAGAGTATAGCGGAGAATGCAAAGAGGATGACATTTTCAACCCAGGGAGAGGGAGAAAGTGTGTGTGTGAGGGAGTGTTGATTGAATTGAGGGAAGTGAACACGAGTTCTATATATATGTACAACTGGAACAAATCTGAGGATGTACAACTGTTTATGCGTAAGGTATCGTTCAATATGCTGCTTTCTGAAGTGGCAATCACGTACAACGGAATGGATAAAGGAGATATTCATAACATTAGTATTCTTAAATTTGATTTAGTGGCTAAAATTACCAAATTTAACTGTAAGATTTATTGCAGTTAATATAATAATAACATTTAATTATTTTCTTTCTTGGCTTATTAAATGACATATCTATTGTTCCCAAATTTTACATACTAGTCTTAGAGTACGTGCATTGCACGTGAACCTCATCTCAAAAAAAAAAAATTATAAAAAAGATCTCATAAACTTTATTAATATTTATGTTTGAATTATTTAAGTAAAAGTTAACAAAAAAAAATATAAAATCATCAGAATAATGATTATCGATTCTATTTTACTAACTCAATAAAAGAACAAGCTTTGCCCTATCAAGTCCTCAAAGTTTTAAATTTTAGTTCTGTCAAAATAAATTATTAATTATAATTATAATTTTTCTAACATGAATTCATTATGAATTGGCAAGTTCTATAATGGTTGACCGCCTACCTCAACCCTCCTCCTTTATGCTGGCTTGGGATTCAGGCGTTGCTGTTGCTGTTGCTGTTGTTGTTGACATGAAAACTATTTATGAATGATTAACAAATTAATTTCAACTCTAATTAGAATTTTGTATTTTTATAATAGTTTAGATATATATAGATGTAAATAGATAGATATATTATGATCATCTTTCATAAATATTTTAGTACAAATGTATGATCCTTAAATCACATTCCATCAAAATTATGGTAGATTTTGTTTAATTTAAGGATCTAACTATAAGAAAAAATTTTAATTCTAATATTAACTTTTTAACATAGATCTATTTGTTGAAGGAATACTTTAGTTTTCTAAATGTATAAAAGTGAATATGTCAACCAACTTTTACTCTGTGGGCAATTAAATTCACAAAAATTACTCCATAAATTTTTAGATTGTTAGCTACCTTAAATATTTTTGCTTTTATTAGATTTATTTTAGAACTTTGGTAATTATTTTTATACTTTCGGAATATTTATTTTTAAAATTAACATATAATAAGCAACCAAATCGATTGTTTTCAAAAGTAATTCCGTGTGTCCAAAGCCAAATAAAATCCCTGTCGATTTTCAATAAATAAAATTGTTAACATTGTTTCTGCGTTCAAGTTTTATAAATGTCTAGTTTGTTTGTGTCTTGAGGTAGAAATATAGTCATATTTTTAAAATAGCTTTTTTAGAGTTAAAGATCAGTTTTTCTATATGGAAAAGCATACTCATAAAAGTAACGACATGCTAATAATTATTCACCCAAATTAGAATAAGTAATGTATTTATATAAGTTTATTTTTTTACTTTAAAATCCTAAATATTAGGAGATCCAAATAAGAAAAGACTTAATAGTCAAAATTTTATTTAATTTAAAAGTCATAAATATTAGGAAAATAAGTAAATGACAATTTTGTCTAATGTGAAATTTATTTTTAAAGGGTAAAAAAAGGCGAACAACATTTCGCTAAGGGTCTTCGTGCTTTTAATATAATATAGATGATGAATTCAAACTTCAAGAAAGATTTTGGCTTTAATAATCATATGGGCTTGTTACATTCAAAAGTGGTAAAAATAGCACGGTATAGCCAGTTTTTGGACTGGTCATTTAAAAATAGCCAACTTTTACGAAGTCAATGAAAAATAGCCACTATTTTGCTGCAACAGAGACCGGTCCAGCATAATATACTAGAGTTCGATGCACATGTGTATGAACTCCAGCATATTATGCTGGACCTGTATACTTTGCTGACTCCAGTATAATATACTGGAGACTGGAGCACCGGTGCTCCAAACTCCAGTATATTATACTGGACAATTATACTTGTTGGAACTCCAGTATATTATGTTGGAGTTCTAGTGTACTTATGCTGGAACTCCATCATATTATGCTGGAGTTCCAGCATACTTATCCTGGAATTCCAGTATAATATGCTGGAGTTCAAGCATACGTATGCTGGAACTCCAGTATAATACACTGGCGTATTTTTCGGGTTTTGAACAGTGTTTTCGCTCAGATTTATCTTTACATGAAAAGTGGCTAAATTTCGATTACTTTTGAAATTGGGCTATTTTTGAACGACCAGTTGTAAATCTGGCTATTTTTGAATTTCTCCCTCAAAAGTGGAGGAAAAAAAAAAGAAATAACCAGATTTACAACTGGTAATTGAAAAATAGCCATAATTTTAAAAGTAATAGAGATTTAGCCATTTTTCTAACAAAGATAAAAATAAAAACACCCTTAAAAATCTGAAAAAATTCCAGCATAATATGCTGGAGTTAGAATTTTTTACATATGAGGTTTTATCATAATGTGCTGGAATTTCATAATGTATTGTAGTTCCAACATAATATGCTGAAAGTTTATACGCAGGATCTCCATAATCCAGCATATTATACTGGAATGCTGGAGTTCCAACATATTATGCTGGAACTTTTTGTATTTCAACAAAATAATAGCTATTTTTTAACGACTTTGCAAATACTGGCTATTTTTCAATTATCAGCCCGAAAACTGGTTAGCCCGTGCTACTTTCTCTTCAAAAGTTCATAATACAACCCTTTATTTCTACTTTTATAGTATATTGGTATACATGAAACTACCCTTTGGGGTTCTTGAGTTAAGAAGGGGGTGTTTCAATTAATAGACTATAACTTGCGATTTGGCTGAAAGTACAAAGTAATCACATCTGACTTAGAGCAACCAAAAAGCTAGTTTTCCCTCATTTATCGTGGGCTATGCTTCAATTTGCGAATAATTTCCAGAACGAGCAATTGACATAATAAAATTCTTAAAACAAATTACCACCTCAAGAATGTTCCTTTTTGTGTTCAAGCTCTAATCAATAATAATTTTAGTGGTTCTTTTGCAAAATAACCACACACAAAAAAAAAAAAAAAAAAAAAAAAAAAAAAAAAAAACGAACAGATAAAGTTGAGAGGTTAAAGAAATTATTTTTCAGATTGAAACAAAACATGTATGGCTAGGTCATAGCATAGACCAACTAGGATCTTTTAGGTACTAGGAGTATATTTATTTCTAGTTTGCTATGTCTCTTATAAAATATTGTAGTAATAGAATTAGGAGTTTATTGACAATATCGAAGGGATAATGCAGATTGCAGAGTGTCTGGACAACTTGATAGTGACGGCTTTCCTTGCATTCTCCGTCGGCTATCGGCTTCGAGGAGACGGTGTTATTTGTACATCATAATCCTTTACCATTGAATTTAAGAAAATAACTTTTTTAAATTTTTTATATGTAAAAGACAGATCTCTTACGTGTAAAAGAAAATCTCTCATGCGTAAAAAAAAAAGATAAGGTCATAAAACTAAAAACAAATTTAAGACAAAAAACCAATTGACCCGAGAGGATGGCATGCATATTATAGAATTTTTGACAAAATCTGCGTATATATGTATATCAGAAAGACTATGACCTAGCCATATTTGGTACTCCTATTTGAACTTCCATTTTTTTAAAGACGGTGATGTCTACTCGATTACGCCATTGGTATATGCTTCCTCCCATAAGCACAAATACGTATAACTCTGTCCATTAAGAGTCAGAAAGATACCGGAAACTTTGTCCCCCCACAAGCACAAATACTTGGCTGATTAGTAAACTATAATTTAGTAATAAGAATAGTATATGAAATATATCGTTGGTTCTATTATTTGCCTAATTATGCTTATTAATCAACTATAGTTTAGTAATAAGAGTAGTTACCTTAAAATATATCATTTGTTTATTGAGTTGGTATAAAGCAGGTATGTGGAGAAGACAAATGAAATAATCTGCTTCTCTTTGGTGAAATATTTACTATTTGCTCCCAGTTATTTGATGAGATTACACAGAAAGTAAGAGCTAAAAACATATGAGGACATGTTACTTCACTTTACTCAACCTACTCTTTAATCACTTTTAGAAGTACAGAGCACTAAGAATTCTTAATGAAAATCACACAAAGCCAGGTATTGGTTCAAAACATTTCATCTGATTACTACTAACTCAAAAGAGAATGGTCATCCTTTGAAGACCTTCCATTTCCAAAAACAGGATAAACTAAAAAATATAAAAACAAACCAAAGAAAGAATACAACTTCCAAAATTTCTACCTTCATAACATACTAAAACAAAGATTGAGAAATGACTTCAGCTTGTTCATGAAAAACTATAGAAACCTAGTAGTAGCAGTTCTTTTTTTTTTTTTTTAAAAAAAAAAAAAAAAAAAAAAAAAAAACTATACTATTTCCATCAGCTCCCCTCATGCTTTTTATATATCTTTATCCTCCATTGTCCTTGCAAGAGATTCCAAGAATTCTTTGACCTGTACATCAATTCAATTACCTCAGTTTAGATTAAAATCACAGAAAAAACTAAGGCATTTAACAACAAAATTGATTTCGCAACGTACCTCTGAAGGATCCCTGAGAGAGAAGAGAGCATTGCTCTCTTTTGGGATAGTTGAAACAAGAATTCCATAACCTTGATATTTCCCCCTCAATGCCTGAAACAAAATATACTCATCAAATCGTGTACACATCAACTTAAGATGAGGAACAGATAAAACAATGTCACAATATCGTGTATTACCTTGAATGCATCTTCGTCTGTTCTGTCATCTCCAATATATATCGGGAGCACGTCATTGCTGTTACTAAAACCTGCATGATTTAACATGAATTTAGTTAAGAAGCGCAGAATTCTGTAACTTAAAGGGCCCTCTGAGGACCCTGACTTATCTAATTCTCCGTCCACTACCAACATTACTTCGATCTCTTAGGGGTTTCGGAAAGGGATGAGGAGGAAAGGATCAATAAAAGCAGATGGAAGGAGCTACATACCCAGTGATTCCAGCAGGAATTCAACTGCTTTTCCTTTGTGCCAATCAATTACAGGACGGAGTTCTAAAACCTATTCAGGAAAGAAAAGCACCGGTATCGTGTTAGTTATATCATTAGTACAATGTTCCAGCGACAGAATTGAAATGGAGACTTAGGTAGATGCATCAAGTTACCTTCCGCCCATGAGTTAGCCGTAGTCGAGGGTAGTCTTTCAAGACATCATGGACATATTGTGCAACGACAGGCCAATTCTGTGGTCAAAATGAAGATCATTAGATGTATGTTCTTTTGTTAACATAGGCAACTTCAGTATCCAGTTGACATTATGAAACAGCAACAAGAAAAGCTAGCACTCACATTTTCATCTACATTACGGTAATGTACAGAGGCACAAAACTTATGGTGCTCAACCTTTGCACCGTTAATGTCTTTAGTTTTCTCGACAAGGGTTTTAAAAACCTGCAAAGTAGTCAGACAAGTTCACGTCTTAAATAACCGTTTTTTTTCTTTCTGGCTGAAACAAAGAGTCATCTACTGGTTTGAAATGCTTTAATAGAAACCTTCTAAAGCACCTACCTCATCAATCATAGGTAAAAATTTACGAGCAGGCTGGAACAGATTAACTTCCTTGCCCTGCTCAAAAAAAAAAAAATTGCAAAAGTAGTTAGGAAATTAGGAAAGTAAGTCAGAAATTGAACTAGATAACAATGTTTACAAGGGAATGAAAGGACAGAATCTGATAATGCAGCTAATATAATACCTGCTGATCAGTAGATTTAATACACTTTGAATCGTTAGTAGACAACATATTTTTGACTGGCAGCATGATGTCCATACCATGGCTACCGGCATAATAGAGTTCAGTTAGACCTATCAGCTCATAAACCTGAAACAATAAAGATCATTATAAATCACTTCTGCAAATGAAGAGAGATATAAAATGTACATGGTATTAACATTAATAAAACCTGAATTACTAATTACCAAAAAGTTACCTTATCACGTCTTCTTCCACTGATGATGGCTGTTGGGAAATACTTTGCAACATTCCTGACAGCAGAGCGCATCTGCAGAATATATATTCTTGTGTAAACATATACAGATAAGCATCTTAATTTCATATGAGAATTGGATTTACCTCATTGGACATAAAAGCACGGTCCGGGTCATCAACAATAGGAGAAAGAGTCCCATCATAATCTAAGAAGATGACTATCTGTTTATTCCTTGCTTGCCTCATAATTTGCTGAAAGGAGTTGAGAGCTGATGGATACTTGATCTAGACAAAGAAAAAAGCTTTGATTATTATTATGCAAAGATATAGAATTCATCACATCCAAACAAATAGATCAGTGTGCTGTTGGTGAAAGTCTAACATACCGTCCAAGAAAGGTAAGTAACATCAGCGTCATCGGAAGAAACATCAATGTTTACTTCCTTCAGAATCTTCTTCCTAGGAGGTGAAGAAGACATCATAGCGTCGAGCCAACCATTGGATCGAACATCATCAAGCTTCGCTGGCTTCTTTCTAGGAATTGTTAGCACGCTAGTGGAGAATGAAGGACCAGATTGTGAGTAAGGCAACAAACTAGAATAAATCCCCAATCTGGACTTGTTCAATGGTGAAGGATCCGTAAGAACTGGAGAGGCTTTCGTCGAATTTAAGTCCATTGAAACAATATGAATTTGGGTGATTTTGACTTTGCGATTGACAGCTATGCAGTTGGGACTTTTTACTAGTGGATGTATAAGAGTGCCGAATCTTTTAACCAACCCTTTTGTCAATGAAAAACCACCTCTTCAAAGTTTTCTTATCACTACTGCTGGGAATAGAGTCCATTAAGTACGGGCTTCCTGCAATCTGGACAAGTCGGAAGTGTCAAAGCAGATTCTGAAATTGGTTGTCTGATTTAGACAATGACAGAAATCGATACCTCATCTCCTGAACCACACTGCATTTACACTAGAAACAGAACATTTTGGCTTGGACAATTTAGTCGAGTCTCACGTGTACCTGGAACAAGTTACTTTTGCGTCAAAACAACATGGAGCAAACAAAGAAAAGGAAACATTTAATGTTAACAGGAGAAAATTTGATTTGAATCCTTACAGATTGATGTATTAAGTTGGATTTAAATGCATTTCCATTTGAAGAAAACAATAGACTCCAAAACAGATACAACACCTTATTTCGCTCACTTACGAGTTACGACAATCCATTTCACCCTAAGTTTGGACAAAAACCGTTCTACATTAAGATCAAAAGTTTTTTTTTTTTGGCAGAGAAGGGAGTGAAAGCCAAAATAACAAGGACTCTTCTTTGGAATTTCTCAACAAGTAACAAATTCATCTTCCACAAATTTCTACAAAAAAGTAGTAAAAACAATAATGAGCAGAAAAGGCATACATTTGGCTAGAGGTGGACATGTGAGGAGAAGTCAGGTGCGGGCGCACCAACTGCCTTTACCTCAAAAATGCATATGTAGTCGAAAATCGTTAAAATACATCTCTTTATATTAAGTTTGCTTCTATTACCACCAAAGAGTAGTGCATAAAGTGGTATTCTACATCTGCTAACTTAAAATTCCATATCGACCTCCCCAATTAGCTTCTTGGTAATAGAAACTCAGGATCCACAGTTTCCTATTGGAAGGATATATGAGTATACATTAAAGGACCTACTGTTTCAGCCTAAGTTCTGGTGAATGTGTAATATAGAAGAGGAACAGGTACAATACAACTTTTTAAGCTTACAGCTCATTCACATAACAAACAAAACTTTCCAACTCTCTCTTTGTATCCACTAAAAGGGACCAAAAGAAAACCACCAAATTTGTTCACTCTTTTCCAACAGCTAGAAGGTGGCTTTCATTTACTTTCCTGTCATCATTCCATTAAAACCATTGACTTCTAAGGAAAAGGGAAAAAAGAGAGTATAAAAATAACTATTTTTTGGTAAATCTTATGGGATGGACAGTCAAAATTCAAATGAGAATTGATATCCAAATAAATGCCAAGATATACAAAAGATGCATCAAGAAAACTAGATCTTGTCACACGGTCGACTATCGACTACATCTTGAACCCCTTCTATTTTTTATCTACCAACAACCCGTAGTGAAGCCAGAAATTTTTGCAAAGGTGTTCAAGTTTGAAATAAGTGAAATTTTTTCTGATAAAGGGTGTTTAGTTTATGTTATGCACCTCTAAAACCTAATAATTTATCTATATACACAGTGTGTTTTTCGATGAAGGCTGTGGCTTCGCCCCTACCAACAACAACAAACAACAACCACCTAATGGATTCCCACTAGTGGGGTTCGGGAAGGGTAGGATGTACGCAGCTTTGACCCTGAGAGGAAAAAGAGACCGTTTCCGATAGACCTTCAGCTAATATCTTTTATCTACCAAAAGAGGCAAATAGTATGATCTGGCTTAATTATGAAGCCCTCAGTAATTATCCCTAAGCTTAAAGTTGTTTAGAGACCGCTTCCAAATAGACCATCAGCTAATATCTTTTATCCACCAAAAGAGGCAAATAGTATGATCTGGCTTAATTATGAAGCACTCACTAATTATCACCAAGCTTAAAGTTTGTTTATCATAGTAATACTTCTACTAGATGGAACTGAGATATAAGGCTGCTGTATCAAGTGAAAAGTTTATGGGCTACCAAACTTTTATTTTCTTTCATTTTTGCTTTTTTGTCAATGAAGCAGGAAAGAACAAAACCCTTTTTCAGCAATAGTACATCCCCCAAGTAATCAATGACAAGCTGAAAGACTTAACATCTCAACGTACCCTACATGATTTTTACCTTTTCCAACAAAAAGCTCAGATCTGAAAGCCAACCAAAAAGTTGGAAAAAAGAAAAAGATTACTATTGATTCAAGTAACGCCATTTTTGTACTTGCAATGATATGACTTCCCAACCTACATGTCAAGACAACCTACTTGAACCCTACCATGAAAAAGGAAAGCTTTAATCTAAGGAACTTATAGACTTAATTAAACCTATGTAATGGCATATCTTAAGGCAATTCTTATAGCCCGATTGGCCAAGCTTCTAAAATCAGCTTATTTTGAAAAGTGTTTTTCTCAAAAGTACTTTTAAAAAAAGTGTTTTTGGTGAGAAGTAGTTTGTGTTTGACTAATTAATTAGAAAAACACTTTTGAGCAGTAATTAGTGTTTGGCCAAGCTTTTGAAAACTGCTTCTAAGTATATTTTTCTCAAAAGTGCTTTTGGAGAGAAGCTACTTTTTTCTGATTTTCCAAAACTGTTTTTGCTTCTCCTCAAAAGCACTTTTTTTCCTTCCAAAAGTTTGGCCAAACACCTCAATTTTTTGCCAAAAGTGTTTTTTGGCAAAAAAAAAACAAACACCTTTGGCCCCAAAAAAAGCTTAGCCAAACAGGCTATTAATCAAATTTAAGGTATTTTTTGTGAGCCTTAGTCCCAACAAATAACATCACATGACACGATAAACTTAAAATCAGCAAGCGAGTGCAACTGAACGTCATAGTACAAAGGAGAAAGGATTATCACACAACTAGAAAGGAGAAAGGATTACTACAAACACAACTACTATGCCTTAGTCCCAAATAAGCTAGGTCGGCTATATCACTTCTCCATTTAAACTTAACTCATGGCATTATCATACCACATAAAATAAAAGTGAAAAAAGGTTAAGTATATATTAGTAATAGTAAAAATTATAATAACAATAATATTAGAAGTTCTCTAACCAGACTAAAACCTATTCCAACTAGTAGATATCACATATATAGATCTTTTTCTTTCATAGTATCCCATCTTTAATTAAGTCTACATTGATTATGCAAGAATCTGTAGGTCTTTCGAAAAAGAAAAAAAAAACTAAAGAAAAGAAAAATAACATGCAAAATAGTAGCCAAGAATTCTTAAGGATTGTCCACAAGTTGGCCTAAAAGATCCCCAACCGCCATGTTGACTTGAATCAAACAAAAAAAAATTGAACAGTTACTAAGTACTTTATAGAGGGCGTTAATAACTACATAAGGAATCAGCTGACTTTAAAAAAATGTATGCTTACTGCTTAGTTCCATTTTCCGCGGGTAAACCACGAAAACTGATAATGACACATAATCAATACATTTCAACATCTTACAGCAACCGACAAAATAAAATAATTTAAATTACACGACAAAGCTAAATTAAGCACTTTTATTTGGTGCTGTCAAATCAATTATTAACCGATAAAAGCAACAACTAAATTTATGATTGTACAGGACTCACAAATCTAATCTGCAGAAAAGCCAGAAACACCTTTCATGGAGGTTTTAAAAATACAAAAAGAAAAGAAAATTACAGAAAGAACTAAACTTTTTAGCTCATAAATGATTCTTTGCAGAAAACCCAAAACAAAAAAAAATGGCCAAAGTTTACGCCTTTTGCATGTCCCACAATGGAAAAGAACCATAGAATTAAAATGGGTATCTATAAGAATTTCCCAAAAATAGATAAAATTCCAACAGCATTGCATGAGGAGGAAAAAAAGGGCAATCTTGAATCAACAAAAGACAAGGTAAAAGGCCAAAAAAAAAATACCTGTCTGAGAACTTATGTCTTAGACCTTAGAACCAATCTTGAAAATCCAATTTAAAAGCCTAAAAGAATTGTACACAAAACACATCACATCAGATTCAAAGAAGAAATGGAGAAGAGAAGTAAAGGCAAATGGAGAAGAAAAGAGAAAAAGAATAATCTACCTTTGGGAAAAACGGCAGGTGGAGAAAATTAAAAGAGAAAACCCTAAAAATGGAGGAGGAAATGTAACGGAAGATAAATATAGAGAGAGAGAGAGAGAAATGAAGGGGAAAAGAGGGAATTGGAGGTGGAGAAACCTAAGTTTATATAGAGTTTGATAGCCCCAAAAAGACGTGCCAAACAAGGAAACCTCTTCCTTCGGTTGTTGAATCAGGAAATACATTTTGACACAATTAATTAATTACCATTATAGCATTATTAGGCTGCTAACATTTACTCTCTTTTTTCGCCAAATTTTACTCGTACCTCCGACCAATAACACTCACCATATTTCAAGAGCTAAATCTCCTTATTTTAAGTTACCTCAATAATATATGATTTGATGAATTAGTCCTCTAAGTTTTACCTTTTTCTTTGGAGTATATTCTTTATATTCCTCCCTTTTATGTTTTGAAGGGAAAATTACTGTCCAGGTACAATGAATATAGTTGTTTGTTGAGCAGTTGAATTGTGAAAGTTGTGCCTATTTTTGTATGAATTACGAAGATTAATTTTTGTTTGACTTCTAACGTCTCGAGATATATATATATATATAGTTGTTCGTTAGAGAGTTGAGTCATTAATATGCAGCTTGAACTTTCTTTTATTAAACGAGTTACTTTTGTTCAAATTTTACCGCATAAAGATAATGAATACAGCTGCCCGTTGAAGATTATTTTCAGAACTCTGAATTGTAGAAGTTGTGCTTAAATTGATTTTATTAACATGAGGTTATCGTGTGAATGGCGGTATTGTGCTTAACTTTTCCTTAAGACGACATAATTTTTATTTGAAGTTTATCTTTCATAGATAATGAATGTCGTTGTTCATATTCATTAGAGGATTAAGTTGTTAAATGGTGCTTAATTTTCGCGTTGATTAGAACTCTTTAATTAATTTATCTCCGAACTTTACCAACTAAATATAGAGATGTTGATTTAATTAGAGGACGAGTTATGTAAGTTGTAATAAATTATTATGTTAATTGATGATTTAATGTTTCTTAGAATTTTACCGTATCTTCTATATTATATTAAAAGGAGAGTAGTGAAACATGTGGTTAAGCCAAGTAGCAAATTTTAAGACAACATTAAAAATTTGAATTATAAATGGAAATATATTTAATGGAAGTAGTAGTACAAGATTTTCTATAGGTATCTTTAATTAAACTTGTGTATAATTCAGTTAGGGTAGGTATCCTTTTTTGAGCAAGAATCAATTAAAATTTTGTTGAAAATCTTATACACTAATTTTAAGTTGAAATAATAATTCTTTATTTAGTACAAGTTTTGTATCTAACTTTATTTATGAACAATATACATTATTATAGGTATATTTAATTAAATTTTGTGTACAATTCAGTTATGATAAGTTTTCTTTTTTAAGAAAAAATATTTAAATAAATATTTTGTATCTTACAAAATCGATAGTTCATATCCAACGATCTCTTACTATTGAAAAAATATTTATTATAAATTTTACTTTAGAGCTAAAAACATTTTTTTTAGAAACATGTGATGTAATTAAATTATTGAATTCCAAATGTTTGTTAATGCAGCCTTTATATGATGAAGTTTAAATTTATTGAAATGAATCTTGCAAATGTTTTGAAAAATAATTTTTAAGGAAAAAAGACTTCTAAACTGCCATATCTCTTGCATATCTTTTAGACTATTATCCTTAACGAAAATAGAGTTAAATAAATCACTCAGATAATTAATTAAGAATAACAAGATAATCAACCATGTCAAGTGGTGTGATAAGAAAAAGTTAATAAACATTATAATAAAAATATTGAATTTAGATTAAAACATATTTAAATTGAGATAAAGAAAATTTAAATTGAAGGATAAAAGTTTTTGAATTGAAATCTTAAATCTTGAGATACAAAAATCAAGTTTGATTGAAAGAAGCATTATGATACTATTAAAAAAATTGCAGATCTTATTGATTTTTCTTTGTGCTTCATTGTTGTTGGATTTTCTTTTATGAATCAAGATCTGTAAATGTATAAATATAGTATTTCTATATTTTGTATCCATATTTGTTAGAGATGTGATACTATATGATATATTATAGGAATATGATATTATTAGAATATTCTTAGGAGAGATTTTAGGAAGTATGAGCTTAAACTCATGTATATATAATCTTCTTTCTGGGAAAGAGAAAGCAAGTCCGATCCATCTAAAAG